TTCCCCTGCCCCCAACCCCCACTCGCTTCAATCAACCATTCATTACTTTTGGTCCATAATTTTAAATTGGCATCATGGCATTTCTTAGTTTCTGGTTGCCTTTCTCTAGATATCTGTATCATTTTACTCCAACAGTCTTATTAATGGCAAATGATGGTTTCAAGCTGGAATGCTTTAAACTTTTTAAAAAGGTGAACTTTTTTTTAAGATTTATTTATTTATTATGTATACAGTGCTCTGTCGGCATGTATGCCTGCAGGCCAGAAGAGGGCACCAGATCTCATTACAGACGGTGAGCCACCAGGTGGTTTCCAGGAATTGAACTCAGGATCCCTGGAAGAGCAGTCAGTGTTCTTAACCTCTGAGCCATCTCTCCAGCCCCTAGAAAGGTGAACTTTAATTTTTGCTACAAATGAGATACCTTGGACGATAGTTTGAATGTAATTGGCCCCCATAAGCCAATAGGGAGTGGCACTATTGGGAGGTGTGGCCTTGTTGAAGGAAATGTGTCACTGCAGGGGCAGGCTTTGAGGTTCCCTTTGCTTACGTTTTGTTCAGAGTCATAGTTCATTTCTGTTGCCTTCTGATCAAAATGTAGCTAGCACCATGTCTTCCTGCAAGCCACTGCGCCCCCCACCGTGATGATAATGGACTGAATGAACCTTTGCAACTGTAAGCGAGCCACCCCAATAAAATGTTTTCCTTATAAGAGTTGCTGTGGGGAAGAAGCAGGGAGAACCCCCGGATGGACCAAACCGGCACACCATTGCATCCCAGCGTTCAGCGCCGACGACTCCCGTTGCCCGCATGCCCAAAAGAAAGGCTGAAGGGGATACTAAAGGAGATAAAGCCGAGGTGAAGGACGAGCCACAGAGAAGATCTGCGAGGTTGTCTGCTAAACCCGCTCCTCCAAAGCCAGAGCCAAGCCTGAAAAGGCTCCTGCAAAGAAGGGAGAGAAGGTACCCGGGAAAGGAGGGGAAGGCGGATGCTGGCCAGGATGCAAATAATCCTGCAGAAAATGGAGACGCAAAACAGACCAGGCACAAAAAGCTGAAGGTGCCGGAGATGCCACGTGAAGTGTGTGCATTTTTGATAACTGTGCACTCCTGGTGACTGTACAGTTTGAAATACTAGTTTTTATCAAGTTTTATAAAAATGCAGAATTTTATTTTACTTTGTTTTTGAAGCTATGTTGTTAGCACACAGAACACTTTATTGTTTTTGGGGTGAAGGAACATATGTGACTAAAAAATGTCTCCTAAGCTAGATTGATAATGATGATAGAAAACATCTTTCCGTGACAATTTAGAAAGTCTCCTCTTGGTTCAGGAGAGACGTCCTGGTGTTGACATATGTGGCCACCATGGCACAGAACGCCTTGTGTGGGAAAACTCTAAATTCATTTTTATATCCTCTTCCTCCTGTACCACAAACATAAACTTAACTCCCTGAAAACCAGAGACCTGTTGGAACCTGACTCCCTAAAATTGGTTTTGCTGATCTATTGGGCAATCTGAACTTTGCAGTAAAAATGATATCCCCCAAAGAGCAGAAGTTCCTTTTATATACAAGATTGTGGATCTTCAGATTGATATTCCTGCCATTTTCATTTCGTTTCCTGAAAGTCAGGGTCGTTGTTAAACAACATCCTTAATGTGAAACGTCAACCCTCACTCTAAGCTCTTCCTCTTTTCAAAGCACTGAATAAAAACCGGTTTTATAGTGGCTTTCTGATTTTGGTAGTCCATACAAGAAGGGAGTTTGGGAGTTATTGTAAACGAATGGCTAAAATCAAAAACACCAATGACAGTTTATGCTGGAGGGGATGTGGACAAAGGGGAACACTCCTCCACTGTTGGTGGGAGTGCCAACTCATACAATCAGTATGGAGATTCCTCAGGAAAATGGGAATCAGCCTACATAAGATCTAGCAATTCCACTCTTAGGCATATACCCAAAAGATGCACATTCATACAACAAGGACATCTGTTCCACTATATTCATAACAGCATTATTTGTAATGGCCATAACCTGAAAGCAACCTAGATGCCCCTCAATTGAAGAGTGGATAGAGAAAATGTGGTACATTTATACAATGGAGTACTATTCAGTGGAAAAAAATGGAATCTTGAAATTTTCAGGCAAATGGACAGCACTAAAAGAAACCATCCTGAGTGAAGTAACCCAGTCACAAAAAGACAAACATGGTATGTACTCACACATATATGGATTTTAGACATGGATCAGGGGAGTGCCAGTGAGTCTGGGAAACAGAACCTTCAACCAATGACTGATGGAAGCAGAGGCAGACACCCACAGCTAAACACTGAGCTGAACTCAAGGAACCCAGTGACAGAAGGAGGACTGATGAGCATAGGGGTCAAGACTGGGCTGGTTTAACCCACAGAAACAGCTGACCTGAAAAAGGGGGAGCTCTTGAACCCCAGACTGATGGCTGGGAATCCAGCATGGGACTGATTCAGACCCCCTGAATGTGGGTGTCAGTGAGGAGGCCTGGGCAATCTATGGGGCCTTGGGTAGTAGATCAGTATTTATCCCTGGCATACAAGTGGACTTTGGGTGTTGATCCCACAATGAGAGATGCTCTCTCAGCCCTGACTCTTAGGGGAGAGCTTAGGCCCTGCCCTGGATGAAATGACAGACTATGGACACCTCCCCCATGGAGAGCTTCTTCCTCCCTGGGGAAAGGAATGGGTACTGGGGGAGGGGAGTTGGTGGGAAGGCATGGGAAGAGGAGAGGGAGAGGGAGAGAGAGCTGGGATTGACATGTGAAGCAACCTTGTTTCTAATTTAAATTTAAAAATAAAAAGAAGAGCCGGGCAGTGGTGGCGCACACCTTTAATCCCAACACTCGGGAGGCAGAGGCAGGCGGATCTCTGTGAGTTCGAGGCCGGGCTGAACCGACAGCCTCCAAAACAATACGGAGAAACCCTTTCTCGTAAAACCAATAAATAAATAAATAAATAATAAATAAATAAATAAATAAAAAGACAAAAAAATAAAGGAACTTCATGAGGCAAAACAAAAACAAAGGAGTTGCTGTGGTCATGGTGTCTCTTCACAGCAATAGAAATCCTAAGGCACCTTGCTGTACTAGTTTTGAATCATAGTCAAAACAGTCATGTGGTCCAACTTGTTAAGAGTAGAGAAGAGATGCTGGCTCATGTGATGCCAAAGGAAAGGCACTTGGAACATGTAAAGATCTAGATGGTCAAGCAGGATAGCTCAGAGTAAAGCTTTTCTGTTCCCTGAAATGTGAAATGTGCTTTTCCAAACTTTCTTCATTCTTTTTCTTTTTCTTTTTTCTTTTTTCTTTTTTCTTTTTTTCTTTTGGTTTTTCAAGACAGGATTTCTCTGCATTGTTTTGGAGCCTGTCCTGGGACTTGCTCTGTAGACCAGGCCTCGAACTCACAGAGTACTTCCAAACTTGTTTTTAAAAGCTAAGAATACATTAGCTGGAAAAGTGGTGCCTCAGTAAATGGTGCTTGCCGAGCGTGCTTGAAGATCAGATTCAATCGCAGCACCATACAATCTGGAAACAGTGGCAGACACCTGTAATACCAGCACTCATAGGCAGAGGCAAGAACATGAGGCATTCAACATCACCCTGGACTAATAGGGAGTTCAAGGACAGCCTGAACTTCATGAGACTCTATCTAAAAGAGAAGAAAGGAGGCAGGGCGGTGGTGGCACACGCCTTTGATTCCAGTGCTTGGGAGGCAGAGACAGGCGGACCTCTGTGAGTTTGAGGCCAGCCTGGTCTACAAAGTGAGTTCCAAGCTAGCCAGGGCTGTTACACAGAGAAACACTGTCTTGGAAAAACAAAAACAAAAGGAGAAAAAGAAGAAAGGAAAAGTAGATATGTTAAATGAATACATGTATGGAAAACTTATATTTTAAATAACACTTCAAATATAAATCGTAACCACTCTACATATGGGCAGTGTGCTGATTTCTGTATCTACATGATGGCTTTATACCTTTGGGTGACTCTAACTGTGAACACTGTTATTCATTTAATCCATAATTTTAAAGATAATTACTTAGCTGTCAGTATATGAAAATTCCAGGTATCTTAGAAAATAGATAAAAAAAAAAAAGATCCGGGCCCACATATGCCTATCACCCACCTATTCCTGAAGTTGAGGTAGGATTTTAAGACCAACTTTGATAACAGAGCAAGGTCCTAGGTAATCCCCAAAAGAAATTTGAGAACAAACTACATTAAGCATGGCCAAAGACATAGGCCTGTCCTGTTTCCCTCAAAAGTGACGGCACGCATTACAAAGCAAAATTGGTAGGTAGAGTGGCAGCCCATTGCCACTGTCAGTTACACTGAATTAACAGGGCCCCATGCTGAACTCAGTGGTTTAAATCTGATACCACGATTAAACATTTAGGAATATATTAAATTATTAACATTTTTTCTCCTTTTACTAAACCTAGGGCCCTAAAGGGCCCCAAGTAACCACTTGTGCCCACGTGTCATCTTTAACTGTTGAATTAAAATGTGTTTAAATATAGAAAGTTACTTAACGTCATACACTGATTCCCAAGTGGGAAAGAGTGCTTTTCTTTGAATTTTATAATTAAGTTTTATTTTATATAAGCAATGTTATTAACCCTCATACAATCTACAAGAAAGACAATGGTATCATCATCATCTCTACCTCATGGATGGAAAATGCTACCTAAAAGGCCTTCTGCTTTAAAAAAAAATTCATCCAAACAAATCTAAACAATTTAAGGAAGGCTTGTGTAACAGTAGTACAGAAAACACCAACAAAGATACCAACCAATCAAGCTGGGTATAGTAGCTCACACCTTAATCCCAGTGCTAAGGAGGCAGAGGCAAAGTGATCTCTGAGTTTGAGGCCAGCCTGGTCTATAGAGCAAGTTTCAGGACAGCCAGGACTACACAGAGAAACCCTGTTTCCAAAAACCGATCAACCAAACAAACAAAAACCCACCAACAAAGCTTATTCCCTTTTCCTTTTATTTCATTCTTTTGTGCCAAATATCAAAACAAGGGACTGCATGAAGCCGCACATACTTTACTCCATCCACAGAACACTGAAAGCAGCCATAAACCGTCTCCCTTTTCAAGTTCCCCATTCCACAGAGTATGCAGGGCCCCTTAGGAATGTTGTGGTTTAGTAAGTTCACTCGAATGTGAGTCCCCTCCTTGAGTGAAATGTCAGTCATGCTGAGAGGTTTGTCATAGTAGTCAGAGAAGAGGTCGTCCAGGTAAAGCTGGGAACGAGAGATGGCATCCATCACTCTCCTATCTGCAAAACAGAACCCAAAATGTGTTAGAAGTCCAAACAACTGTGCAACCCAAGCAGGATTTAGAAAGGTATCAGTCCCAACCATCCATCAGAAAATAATTGGGCTTTAACCGTGTTAACTGATGGGTTAGTGAGTTAGGCAGCCTCACATATTGACACAGGAGAATGCCTTCACAAACCCCCTTCAACAGACATACTTCTTTCAAAGAGCATATTTCTCAGTCTGTAGAACATGGCAAAGGTTGTCATTTCTTCCCTTTCAAATCCTCCTTTTGACACTGACGTGACACAAAGGTCTACAAAACAAATTTGAGATGTTACCATAACTTAACTGATACTTGAGTATTTCATAGAGTGTATGAATTGTCACACATGCAATTCACTGTTTTTAAATAAAGTTAAACTTTGCACATTTGAGGGAAAGATTGCATTTACAAGTACAAAGTTGAGAGATTAAAGTCATATAGTGACCACAGTGACACACCTCCAGCCCAGCCTGTACCCGTACCCAGCCTGTGTGACACAGGCCTTGTGTGTCCAATTCCATATCATACACAGTTCTTTAAAATATGAGATCACTGCATGCCCAGAGCTACCCACTCATCATGCCTCTCCTCCTCTGCGGTGCTCATGGGATGTACCACTACTGGGTCCCCCAAGGATATTTGTTTTAGGAGCTAAAGACCCTGTTCCTCTGCCACTGTGATATGTATCAGTGTACCTAAAGCGTGAATCCTGGAAATGAAGGACCAAAGAATGTGCACACAGATAGATTGCATTTTGATGAATGCCATTTTATACTCCTCTCTACGATACAGTCAGTATAACTGCAAAACCTGACTGCTACAGGAGTCAAAGTTCGGTTTCCTTAAAATGTAGTTTCATTTCTAGACTTCCTAACCCCCCTTCTCCAGGACTACAGAAACTAACAAAGAAAGTCTACAAATGTAAATTACCATAACTAGGGGACTCCCTTGCCTGGTCCTTTAGGGGCTACATCTGATCTTGTTCTGACTGGCAATCAACTAACGTTAAAGTCCTGTGAAATGTAGAAGCTAAAGTGAGCTGCACTGAGCTGCCATCTAAGATGACAGCTGTAGAGGAAGCACTTATCATTCCAAAGTGTTTCTTTTATTGTTTTTAAGAGAATATACAGCTAGGAAGTCATATCTAAGCAGGTATAGATTGATTGATTGATTGATTGATTGATTGATTGATTGATTAATTGATTGATTGACTGACTGACTGACTGATTATTAACTCATGCTGTCCATTTGGGCACCAGAGACTTTCGACATCTTACTGCCTTCAGATTCTTTATTTGCCACTTCTATAAGCTGCCTACTAGAAGTCATTTATTATCCTTCCCACAAAAGCTAAGGCATATTTTGTCCCTGGACCTTGTTTTACTGCTAACCTGTAACTGTAAGTGGGGTAGTATGGAGTCTTCGCTAAGAAGCACAAAAGAGGTGTTGGGAAATTAGGTGGGGTGCTTTCCTCCAGCCTAGCCTGAGCCTGACCATACTGAATGCATCGTGCTGCTATAATCATGAATGACAAGGGAGACAGATAAGGAAGGAGACAAAGATGAGGGAGGGAGGAAGGGAGGGAGGGAGGGAGGGAGGGAGGGAGGGATCCATTCCTATCACATTCTACTTAAAACTATAGTCACATGAGTTTCAGACGTATCTTTTACTCACCAAAGGCACCATCCAGGTAAATGAAGAGTTCAAAAACACTGAAAGCTATAGTTGTGTGTGCTGGGAAAACAATAGCTTTTTCCCTTCCTTTGGGATTCTGTTCATCCATAAAATGAAACTGCCATAAGCAAATGGATAAAATAACATTATTACACAGCATAACAGGGCAGGATTAGCTTGTTCAAGAAACAAACTTCCCGTAAACCCACCCAAAACAAAACACAACCACCTACTCAAATAAAGAGCTGCCCTGCCTCAGTTAACCCTTCTGCTGGACACCCATGCATGATCTAGGCTGGTGACCTTTTAGCTCCCTCACTTTAGGATTGAAGTCAGTGATTAATGTCACCACAGTGTTCTTGCATAAACCCTTTTCTTTAGCTCTGCCCATCTACTTCAGAAGCCCCACAGCAGCAGGCAGCTTTCCCAGTCACCAAAATGACCACCATCAAGCGTTTCAGCTTGTGCCCCTCAAACAACCGATGCTAATCAGAATTCGGAGGATATCTGAATGTAGATTCTGAACAGAATACTCGTAATGCAGTGAGGGATACAATGGAATAGCTCTATGAGAAGGCACCTAGTGTCCTTGAAATGGCTTGGTCGTCTTTCATAGATTATGCATAATATGTTAAATTACAACTGGAGAGGGTTGAAAAGATTTAGTCCCGTATTTTTAAGAGGTATTTCTTTAGGATGTGTGTGGGGTGGTATGCGTGCCACTGTGCCTGCAGAGAGATCACAAGACAGCCTTGTGCAACACACCTACGAAAGGCAATGCTTTGGTTCATTGCACGTTGGACAGTGATCAACTCAGGGTAATTAGTGCATTAATCTACCACCTTAAACTCTTACTACTTCTTTATAATAAGTACATCCTTTTCCTCTAATCATTTTGAGAAATATGGATCCTTATTAATTGTCTTCATTCTGCTGTGCCATGGGCCACCAGAACTAAATTTTCCTATCCTATTCAACTATAACATTGTTTCCACCAACCCAGCCTCTGCTAGCCCCAGTCTGTGTTCAACAAGTACAAGGTGAGTGTTTCTGTTTTTCTTTCTTTTTCACTTATGTGTGTGGCATGTGCATGGGGATGTGTTTGTATGTGTGTGCCCATGCACATGCCACACACATACATGCATGTGGGTACATGACAACATACATGCATGTGGATAAATGTGGAAGCCAGAGGTCAGCGTTAGGTGTCTTCCTCTATCGCTCTCCAAGATAGTCGCTCACTGGACATGGGGCTCACTGATTGGGTAAGACTATTAGAAGGCCGGTCAGCCCCAGAGATTCTCCTCTCTCTGCCACCGCCCTTGTGCTGGAATCACAGACACACACTGTAACACTTAGCTTCCATCCTGTTGCTTGGGGTCAGATTCAGATCCCCAAGCAGAACAAGTAAGTGCTTTACAGACAGAGCCATCCAACATCCCACTTTAAATTAGTATACAAATTTATGGTTTTCATAATTGTGTGTGGGGGATGCATTTTGTTCTAACTTGTCCTCAGCCACTGCCCTCCCCTTTACACCTTCAGGCTGGTCTCCGCCCCCGTGCACTCTTCCCTTCTCGTTCATACGCGTGCATCCATCTCCTTCCTCCCTCCCCCAACCGCTTCTTCCCCCTTCATGGCCTTCTTTCTGTTTCATGACCTGTACACACACACACACACACACACACTCACTCAAAGCTCGATTCTACATATAAGAGAAAATATGCAATATTTGCCTTTCTGAGTCTGGCTTATTTCACTTGACAATTTTTTTTGTTTTGTTTTTTTTTTGTTTGTTTTTGTTTTTCGAGGCAGGGTTTCTCTGTGGCTTTGGAGGCTGTCCTGGAACTCGCTCTGAGACCAGGCTGGCCTCAAACTCACAGAGATCCGCCTGCCTCTGCCTCCCGAGTGCTGGGATTAAAGGTGTGTGCCACCAACATCTGGCCTTCACTTGACAATTTTTAGTTCTATCCATTTTTCTGCAAAATCATAATTTCATTTCCTTTACTATAAATAAAATGTCACCTAACAATTGGCTTTGAATCTATCAAATCAGCAGTAGGTATCACTGGTTGATAAGGATAAACAATATAAATACTTTTCTATTTTTTAATTTTTTCTAAAGATTTTTTATTTTTATCTTATGCATATGTGTGAGTGCTGCATGCATATTTGGGCATCGTGTATGTGCAGTGCCTGCAGAGGCCAGAAGAGGGCATCAGATCCCTGGGACTTGTGAGCCAACAAGAGAGTGCTGGGAACCAAATCTGGGTGCTGTCAAAGAGAAGCCAGTTCTCTGAACTTTCTTTATTTTGCTTTGTTTTTTGAGATAGGGTTTCTCTGTGAAGCAGGCCTGACTGTTCCAGAACTCACTTTGCAGGCCAGGCTGGCCTCCACTAACTTTTTTTTCTAGACATCTCTTCAGCCCCAGTTTTCTGATTTCTAACTTTTAAAAGGATTTACACAAAACGAAGCACATTTGGTTATTGGCAATGCTAATTAGAAAAACCGCTTCCATATAAAATACAAATTCAGGGTTGGTGATATGGCTCAGCAGATAAAGGCACCATCTGTGACACACATATGGAAGGAGAAAACTGAGCCCCACAATTTGTTTCCTGACCTCAACATGGACACTGTGGCATGTGTGCACTTGCACACACATGAAGAACACAAAATAAATAAAGTAAAAAAACTCAACTTTTAAAAATTCAGTATTAATTGCATTATTTAAAAATAGCCAAAGAAGGGGCTAGAGAGATGTCTGCTCTTCCAGAGGTCCTGAGTTCAATTCCCAGCAACCATAGGGTGGTTCACAACCATCTGTAATGAGATCTGGTACCCTCTTCTGGCCTGCAGGCATACATTCAGGCACAGCACTGTATATATAATAAATAAATCTTAAAAAAAAATCAAAGAATACAACATCCAGACTTACTTTTTGTTCTTAATACAACACTTAAGTACTATTTAATTGGCAGGACTCCAGTATATACATGCATTCACAAGGATTAGTGGCTTGTTTATATTGTATTACACATGTTTAGAGCCCACGTTGTCTTGGCTGGTCTTCTGATTCTGAAGTGAATCCCTACACAACCAAGGCTCTTTCTTTTCTGCCTTTGATGAAAGGCACAAACCCATTAGTGGTAACTTTTTAAAACCCCGTAGTAACTCTGGAGTTACTGGTGTAGCCCTGAGTGTGTTTTACCCGCATGGCTTCGCCTCGGATCCCAGCATGCACAGACAGGGAGCACTGCCGTGTGGTCCTGATGCTCTCCATGACCACGCACAGCACAGCCTTCCTGCTGCTCCTTGATTGGCGGATCAAACTGTGGTCAAAGTTAATTTTTCTAGAATAATGAAAAAAAAAGACACAGGTACAAGATGCTTTAATAGGTGGTTATACGGAACCGAAGGTACCTGTTGTGTTATTCATGGCCCATCTTAAGTAAGTGTGAATCGAGACAGGCATAATGCAAATCAGAAAATATAAACCACTTAACTAATGTGCCTCTCCCGCCAATGGTTTTATTGTTTTGTGGAGCTCAGGCATGGCCGTAGTTTTGTAGAACTGGGTACTGAACCCAGGGCTTGGTGCATGCTAGGCAAGTGCTCTGTCTCCAAGCCACCTCCCAGCTACCCACTCCCTCTTTATTTAGACAGATCCTCAGTAATTTGCTCAAGAAGGACTTGACTCACTATGTAGCCCAAACAGGCTTTGAACTTGTGATTCTCCCGTCTTACTCTCCCAAGAATCTGGGATTACTGGCATGTACAACCACACCTGACTCTCCTGTTTCTATAGAATGCTCTGTTCTGTCTGTATTATTTCAATTGAATGATCTAGTAAATTGTTCAGAACCAGAGTGATGTTTTGTGAAACAACTGAAAATGCTTATCAAATGATTTTTTTAAATTGGGTTGGGGTAGTAATTAGCCACTAATATGTAGTCTTTCAAATGAAGGGAAAATATAAATTAACTTCTAAGATATAACCCATACGTTTTAAGCAATCTTTGCAATGGAGTTGATACAGTTAAATCATTTAGTGAGAATACGGTAGCACACTAGGATCTTTGTACTGACCGTGCAGTAATTTCCTTGAGTAATGTTGATACTTCCACTTCATGTTTGGTTACCACACCAAATGAAGCTTTGACTGCGATGGAATCAGACCCAGTAACATTAATCCCAACATCATTCACAATATGGTTGCTTCGCCTTCCGTAGAGGGAGACATCTGACTCATCTTCATAATTCAGTAACTGATAAGATGAAATGCCTTAGGAGACGGAACTTAATATTTTTAAATGTATCAAATTCATCTCACACAGACTTTATATAGTATCATGTTAACATGACTGAAAAATTATTTTGCCCAGATGCTAATTAGACAGCATTTCCAGCCACATGAATAGTAGCATTTCAAGCAATTTTACTACCAAAAAAAAAATGACAGGATACTTAAAAGAAAAAAAAAAAAACCTTAAATTCTCCATTCAGACAACAGAATACTTATATATCAATCAGGATGAACAAGTGTCCACAGCCAATGACTAGCATCATGCCTATTTTATAATCTAGCTTTCAAAGCACAGTTCAGGGTTGGGAGATGGCTCAGTAGGTAAAGTGCTTGCTTGTGAGCTTAATCCCCCAGCACCCACATTTGTAAAACCTGAGTTTACCTATTGCAATAAACTGTAAAATAATTACTTCCAGTTACTGATCATGTGAAATGGGTAAGATCAAGTAATATTCTATGTTATACAGGACAAAACATACCATTTTGTTGGTCTATTTAGTTAAAAACAACTTATAATTTATTTTAAAATTAAGCAATAAGAGATTTTAAGCTATAAACACTTAAGCCTTGTTCATCTTAATGATACTGTAACACAACAGTTAATTTTATTCATAAAATGTGTATTATTAATATAGTTAATCCATACAACCTCCTTAGGGTATTACCGATACAGCCCCATGGAGTCACTCCCAAACATTTAAACTTACCAGCTGAAATGTCTCGGTCTCCTAGGAGGATATCTTTAAGCGTGAAAGGAGTTGAGGTAAATTTGTGTCTAGGAAACAGAAAACACCGCTTCTTTTTAACCACAAGACTCAGGGGCTGGTACTTGTCTGCTTCGCTGAGGCTCGGAACAGGCACTAATCTCCCTCCATCTCCAACTTGCTTAACAAAGCTCTTGGTAGCAGCAGCAAACATATTAATATCAAGATGTCATCGACTGCGACCTTCAGTCAACGAATCCATGTTTTTATTATTAACTTTTTACGAACCCATTCTGGACGAAGAAAATCCAACACCAGACTAAGCCTTGTTCGATGTTAAATCCAGTTGCGCAGGTTAGAAGTAGAAAGCATGCTCTCACCGGAACTTTACCGGTGTGCAGTTCACAACACTGCCTCCCCTCATGAACTCAGGTAATGAATAATAGACAGCAGTGTAAAACGATACGCCAAAAGCAAGTCTAACTGGGAATGGCAGTCTGCAGAACTAAAACACACACAAAAAGCGAATTCAAACATACGACCAATGTCCTTAAGGACACCACAATTGAGGGTGCTCTGCCACAAGCAATAAACTCGTTCGGAAGGAGCATAAAGCCCTATGGGAAACAGTGCAACTGAGCCCTAACATTAGGCCTGGATGCGATCTAGGGTGGACATTATCCAAAAGGAATCCCTTCACCAGTTCAGCAGGTGAGTTTTGGCAACAGAAAAGCACTTTTGAATCCTCACAGTATACAGATCATTACATGAGCATTTCTCTCACTGGGATTTCGTATGCATATAAAACTATGTGTTTAATACCAAATATGAATTCACAGAATACAAAGGAACAATTGTAAGCAGCTCTCTATAGAATACTAAAGGCTTTTAGTTACAAATTGCATTATGTATTAAAAACTACTATGGCAGTCTCTTACTTTAAACTGATGGCTCAAACGGCATCACCTGATAGAGTTCTGCTGAATTTACCTCCTTTTTGTTGTGTCCCAATCACCCTACCTAGAAAAATAGTTACATAAAGTTTTGGCTTATTTTCAAGGAGTTTTGTGTACCCACTTAAATTAAATTCTAAAAATATAAATCTATACTGAGATATTGTATAGCCATAGGTGGTTGACATATTTTGAAGTTGGTCCTTACATCACAATGAGCGTAATAGCATTATTGGGTAGTAACCTATATTCCTTATGTAGAAATAAAGGAAGAGAAAATAGGTTTAACCTAAGCCCCAGTAGAATTCAGTTTGATTCGACTCTGGATATTTTTACTTGCTTCCAAGTATTTGGGCTCACATGCACCCAAAACCAAATTTCTGTCACAAAACCAACTACTTTCGTACTCTGACCTAAAAAAATTGTATTAAAAAATAACTGATAGCAGTTTATTCATGAGGACATTTTTAGAATTCAGTTTCGAGCATCAGGTAAGTAAGCACAGGTGTCATTGTGCAAAGGAGTTCACAAAGGTCTAAACCTCGCCGCTGTATCTCTGTTTGACACACCCACAACACACTCTGAAGGCAGAGCATCCTGGACTAATGTCTTCATTCCTCACTTAATAAGCCAGCAGGGGCGGGAAGAGCGATCCTGGAAACTAACTGGTTTAAATATCTTTACTGTGCACCCCACCTCCCTGGACTCATCCGGAATCCTGCAGCCTCCTAACCTGTGGGTCGCAAGCCTTTTGGGGGTTGCATATCAGATATTCTGCATATGAGATATTTACATTAAGATTCTTAAGAGCAGCAAAATTATGTAGAGACGAAACAATTTTGTGGTTGGGGGTCACCACAACCTGAGGAACTGTATTCAACTGTCGCAATATTAGGAAGGTTGAAAGCACTGTCCTAAAGCCTGCAGACCACAGGAGACCGGCAGGCAGGAGAGGGTTTCAGGGATCCAGTACTCTTAAACCAGCCTGTCCTGGAATAGCTTGCTGCCCCTTTAGCCGACACTCCCGGGTCTCAAGTTTTGGGGACGAGATCCGGAATTTTCTTAGCAATTTTACATTCGGAATTATAGAACCTTTCTTGAAGTAACCCAACCCTTAATATTTCTTCCTTGCTCCTCACACATGCTAGCTCTGGGCCTACTAGAAGCTTTCTCACCGGAAAGGGCCTCCCTCTAAAGACAAAGGACTGAGCCTCTGCGCCACTAAAGGCGGGAGGAGAAACCCAGGGAACAGAAGCGGGGCGCAGGCAGGAACTGGGAAGAGCCTGGACTGGCATGAAGGTGGGGCCTAGGGGATGAGGGGCGGGGCCAGACGAGCATAAGTATTGGAAGCTGGGAAGAGCGCAGACTGGCAAAGAGGGCGGGATCTGGCCGTGGGCGGGGCGGGGCCGGGCGCTGAGAAGCTCAGGGAGCCCAACTAGAGCGCGGGCCGTAGCTGGGAAGAGCAGGGACCCTCAGAAAGGGAACCGGGAAGGCGCCTAGCGCTGTGGCATAGGGAAATCGGGACCGGCGAGGGGCGGAGCATGGCAGAGAGGGGCGGAGCCGAGGGGCCCGGCAGAGAGGGGGTGTGGCTGGCTCTTCCGCGCAGAGGCCCCGCCTCTCCTTCCCTCTCTGCCTGTCCCTTTGCTAGAGAGAGGCAAGCAGCTATCGGAGGGGGAGCCAGGCAGCAGAGCAGGCAAGCTCCTCTCGGGATCTGGCCGACGTGGAGAGGGAAGTCCCAGATCCACACTGCTCTCGATCGCAGTGCCCGGGCGTCCCTTCTCGCCATGTCCCACAGCAGGCATCGCGCCGAGGCCCCGCCGCTGGAGCGCGAGGACAGCGGGACCTTCAGGTCAGCGCTGGGCCGTCGAGGCCGCAGGCCCCAGACGGGTGGGTAGCGGGGCAGGGGCGGGGAGCCGGCTGTCGGGCTGCATTCTGGGTAGAGCCCCCTCCTTCCTCAGGCACGGCACTGGGCCCGCCCTCCGGCCCGGGGGGCATCTGCTGCGCACCCCGCCCCTCCGGCGACTGGAGGATCTGGAAGATATATGATCGGGGTGCCTCACGGACTCGGTTGTAGACTTGGTCTAGCCTGTAACTCCCGAGCCCATCCGGTTTCCTTCAGTATCCCTCCCACTGCGCTCAAGTTCTGTCTATATAGACCTCTCTACCCTCATCTATGGCTGCAGCACCCAGAGACAGGTGCGCCCAGGCCTTGCCACTGACCCTGGCTTCTGAGAGCTGTGGAGCTTTATTTTTGGTCACTGTTTGTGGCTGTCAAAACTGACAAGTGAATGTTTTTGCTTCCTTTTCAGCTTTGACGTGTAAAGCATATGGTTTTTGTGTTGTTTTTCTGGTTTTTGCAGTTTGGGCAAGATGATAACAGCCAAGCCTGGGAAAACACCGATTCAGGTATTGCACGAATACGGCATGAAGACCAAGAACATTCCAGTTTATGAATGTGAAAGATCCGATGTGCAAATACACGTGCCCACTTTCACCTTCAGAGTAACCGTTGGTGACATAACTTGCACAGGTCTGTATGCAGTTAACCCTCACGACCATGTGGATTGGCGGTCCTGACTTTGCGTTGCTTTTCGGTTAGGAAAAGTGCCCCCCTTTTGCCTAAGTCAACTATGGGAGCAGACGAGACACTCCAGCACCAACTTCATTTGGTTCACTCCCTTGTTTTTATCTCGCTAAGATGTAAGAAGCTCAAAAATGCAGAAGGTATCCAAGCATCCTGCCCATCTCTCCCGATACCTAGGGAGCCTGCTGAAGTTACTCTTACAGACTAGAAACTGGAAATGTTCTTGGGTTGTCATAGCTAGGTCAGTGGACACTATTACCTCTCAAAGTTACAAGTGCAGATATAGGCGTGATCTCAGGGTTTCTGAGTTTCCCCCTTTGTGGACACATCTGGAACTTTGGATTCTTGGTGCCTCTCTTGAGTCTGTGTCCATAAAATATCAGGGGAAGACAGAGACTCCCATACTGTATCCCATCAAACTGTATTGCACAGTAGTTTCTCATTCTAGATTACTATACAGGTATTTTGTATAAGGTTGTTTCCCCTTTGTATTCATGAAGTAGCAAGTTCAGAGACATTTTCATAAGCTATGTGCAAAAGGTCACATAACAATGGAGTTTTACAGTTCAGATTCATATCTTCTTTCAGTCTGAGTCTGAGAAAATGCCCACCAGAGTTGACATTTGTAAACGTGGACATCATTTCCCTATATACTTTAGTTAAAAGCATGAAAAACGTTGAATAATATTTGTAAATATACAAAGAAAAAACTTAGGGAAAGCCAAAGTTCCACTGTATAGTAGTCTGAATGTATCATACGTTTGTATCTGAGAGTCTGGGTTGTCTATAGTCATTGAAGCCACTTCAAAAAATTGAAGCTCTTTTTATTTGTGTGGGAGGGGCATGTGGATGGATCGTAGGTATAGGCTGGAAGGCTCCTTATAGAAATGCACATGGTTGGATTGAGTGACTGCTTTAACTGGTCATCTTTCAAATATTTGTGAGGAGTGTTCAAGAGAAAAAGGCCATTTTCCCCTCTAATACACTTTAGGTTAGAGATGAGCAATTTATTTCAACCCATAAAATTATTTCATTGCACCAGGGCCGTCTAACTCAGAATGCTTTTCCTGGCATTCTAATTTATCTTCCTCTTTCTTTACCTCCTGACTGCAGATTAATTTTATTTCATCAAACAAATGTAACACATCTTTGAGTCATTAAACAAATATTTCACAGCATTAACAAACATAACACATCTTAAATTAATATTCCACAACCGTTTTTATATACATGAAGGTTTGGAAAAGACAATTTTGTTTTTTGAGACAGTGTTGCTTTGTAGCTTTGGAGGCTGTCCTGGAACTGTATCAGTAGACCAGCCTGACCTTGAACTCACAGAGACCCACCCTCCAGCTTCCCGAATGCTGGGATTAAAGGCTGGTGCCACCACTGCCCCGTGGAAAGGACAAATTTAAATTCCCTTCATTTCTTCCTCCACCCCTGCATCTCAGATTCCCTTTCACCACGCTCACAGGCTTTATTCATATTCAGCTGTTTGCGGCCTTGAGAACAGGAAGTGCTGTGTTGCCCTGAAACCCTTGTGGGTGCTCTTTGGCTTGCAGTGTTCTTTTAATCCTCATCTCTCCAAATCCTCATGTCACTAGCTTTGATTCGTCTCCTATATGGTTCTCCCTTCCTCCATGAAAACTTCCTGAGTGTCTCTAAGAGTAGCTAAGCTGCAAAGTTTTTCTGGTTTGATTTTGACATGGTGTCTTGTAGGGGCTCAAGCTGGCCCTTAATCCCCAATCCTCCTGCCTCAGCCATCTGAACAGGTGGGATGGCATGGCCATGCCTGGCAAGCTGCTGGTCTTCTGTGCCTCCTTATAGCTTGCACTGGGCTTGTTTTAACACGTCCTTTGCATTTCAGACATCTGTTGACAGACATTTGACTGTCAGTCCCTGAGAACAAGAGATTCTTTAGTCCTGCGCCATATCCCAAGTGTCTGTCTTAGTAGATAAGAGAGTATAGGGCTCTGTGTCCTCTGATACTTGAGGGTCACACTTGAAAACATTCTCTATGAGTTTGGGGATTTGAACTCAGAAGGAACAGATGAGCTTCACCATTTACCTCATGAGATGGCTGAAGTAAGGAGTTCAGTCTTCCCACATCCTCCCCATATCTCCCCATGATAGCTGTACTGCTTGTGTGAAAGATTTATGACATAAGCTTCACCTTCTGTGTGTCAGCCCTCCTCCACTGCACGTGGTGTGTAATCCTGCCTGCGTAGCTAGAACAGGGACTGTCAGTGGCTGCTTTAAAGAAAACTTGTTGCAGAAGAACTTCTCTGGCTAGGAATAAAGGAAGAACCGTTGTGAGTCTTTTCCTGTCCCACCAGCCAGCTCCCAAATGGAGACATGGAGACTTCTTAATTATAAAAGCTCCACCTTAGCTTATGTTTGCCCTACTAGCTCCCTAACCAATTAATAACACATTTATTTTAATCTGTGCTCTGTCATGTGGCTTGGTTGCCCATGATCTGTACCATGTGTCAGATCTTTAGAGTCCCACTGATGTCTCTCACACGCCTAGATTCATCTTCTACCCTCTCTTTGCCTAGAAATTTGCCTATACCTCCTGCCTAGCTATTGACCGTTTAGCTTCTTATGACGCCAGCCACAGCAATGCATTTTCACACAGTGTCCAAATATCCCACAACATTTCCCCCTTTTTTTGTCTAAATAAAATGACAAGATTTCAACTATAACAAAGTAAAACTGTATACAATAAGAACAGTTATCTACTGGGCACCTTTAATCCCAGCACTGAGGAAGCAGAGGCAGGAGAATCTCTGTGAGTTCCAGAATAGCCAGGATTGTTTCACAAAGAAACCCTGTCTCAAAAAAAAAATTATCAGGTAAGAATTACATTCACAATGTCCAGTCCATTTCTATTTGGCATATTTAGAGAAATTACTCTATTATCTAATCTATCTTAGTGAATTCAAATTTTTATAACTAAACAGGAAGTGGTGAACAAGCAGCATCCAAAACTATAGAAACAACAGCTGCCTGGACAGTCACCCAAGGTTCCTCTATAACACTGGAGCATCCATTTTAGGCCTATAGTCCAAGAATATCTGACAAACTTTTCTGTGAAGCAGGAATTTTGAAGGACTGTCCTACTTTGTCTTGACAAAGTTCGACAGTCACTTTCTTTTGTGTCCTGTTTGTCCAGTTTGAACAGCATACTGTCAGCAGTTGAGGCAAGGGCCTAGCTTTGTCAAATGGCTATCCCAAATGGCTACCTTTGTCACATTGAAATCAAAGTCCAAATGGAGGTTCTTTAATGCCCATCATCCTTTTTTGAAGTAAATTGGTGCTTCCAGGAGCAGACATGTCTCATTGTCATGAGAAGCCTTACGTTATCAAAACACTTTAAATGCTGTATTCTGTAGGTCTTTGAAGTGTTTGAAGATCATCTGTCTATTTAAAATATATCTCTGTTTGACCTTGAAAACATTCTTAACATGAGTTCTATTGTTATAGATGACTATTAACCTGTTTTTCTTTATTGTCATTAACAGCTTTCAAGGACTAGAAATTTACATTACATTTTAAATGAGCTGCACAGGTACAATATCTTAAATAAGAGTAGAAATATATATTCAGTATAACAAAAGTAACCTTAAATTTGTATCAAAATACAAAAATCTACACCAATTTAAAATATTTGAGACTAATGTT